CTAAGACTTCAAGGAAAGCATTCCCAAATCCCTGTTGGCTTCAGAAGTTAGGAAAGAGGAGAGCCAAGCAGAACAAAGTGCATGGGGAAGAACCTATTGCAGGAGTTGGAATTTGCTTTTTTCTTTATGTTTCAGTAGGATTTAAGCAGTTGAGCCATGGACACAGTCATACTTAGAAGAGAAAGTGATAGTGCTAACAAAAGCAGGAAGCATGCATTTAGCAAAGCCTATTACCCACATAGAAACTAAAGAAGAAGTTTCATTAGCAACTATTTGGGAATGTTTTAAATTCTGGAGATATTCTAATTCAGTCAATGCAAAAGCTTAGTAATTCTTGAATGGTCATACAAAATTCATAGGTGAGGTTGGTTAGTCCAGTAGTGAGCTGCTAAATCTCTGAGAATGATGAGGGATAGGGACTTGAATCCTCTGAGAAGGTATCGTTAATATATTTTTAATTTAGGTTGTGTTACTTGCAACTAATGTCTGAGTTTCCCATGACAGCTTCCACCACGGCAATAATAATAATAGGATAATCCTTTGCCAGGCACCAACTCTAATAGCTACTGTAATAAGAATTTTGCACATAGAATTTTATTTTAAAAAACTAAGCAAGATGTAATTTTTCAAATATTTAATATTTATATTCAATATATATCTATATTTAATATATTTAAAGTTTAGTATTTAATACTTAAACATTAAAAACATTTTAAAATATCTAAAAGTTATACCCATCATTAAAACTAAACAAGATATCAATTTTAAAACATTTAATATTTGTATTCAATATATAGTATATATTTGTATGTTTAGTATTTAATATTTAAATATCTTGAAAATTGTATAAAACTAAATAAAATGTAACTTTTTTTCATTTATAAAAAAAAAAGAGGAAAATAAAACTAAGGGAAAGAATCAGCCTTTGAGACAGGGGGTCCCCTGTGTTTCTTCTTTGCTAGCAAAGAAATAAATCTTTTCTCTTTTTCTCCAAACCGTGTCCTTGTTTTTGGATTGGCATCAGGGATAAAGACCTAGTTTTCAGTAACAAATTTGGCACCCCAAATAGGACCCAAAAGCAGCCCCCTCCAGCTTTCTTGGGCAGTCCTGGCTCTCCAAGGAATCCTACTTCCATGCTGAGGATACAATGTGCTGGCAAACTTGTTGAGATGCAACTGCGGGAGAGTTGGGAGATGGGTGAGTCTGCCCCAGGTCCAACCAGAGGAGCTATCCCTGTTGCCGCATTGTGTCCACTATTGAGAAAAAGGAAACTGAACTCAAGAAAGTTGGCACAACGTTGGCCATTTGCATGATCCCTGCTCTATGTATGCCTTATCCACTCACCTGCCACCTTCCACTATGGACCTCGGGACTGCTCTGATGCTGATTGTTCTTAACTATCCACATCCCACCTCATAGAGAACAAGGGCTTTGGGTTACTTCCTTCAATTCTATCCCCTTTGAGCAGGAAGCAGTTTGGAGATGTCATTGCCTATTTTTCCATAGAAATGGAATGTAGAAATTGATAGCGGGGAAATGTAACAGTGGTCCACTTTATGCTTTGTAGTATATAGCCTTTGCTGCCTTGCTACTGCAACTTATTTTAAAATGGACATGTTTCTTTCTCTTTCTTTCTCCCCGTCTCTAGTCTTCCCCATTTTAGACAGACTAATCTGTCCTTGAGTACACACCCTCCATAGAAATGAAGTAATCCAGACTTTGGGGATAGTACCAGAAGATCTCAAAAATGTATATCTCCCAATTTAATAAGTGAATTACAACTCCAACAGAGAACATGTGGAATGTAGCCTCTGTGTCACCTCTTTAAAAGACCCCTGTTCCTAATGATGGGCTAAATCACCCCTTTGGGACAGGAATCCCCTGTGTTTCTTCTTTTATAGCAAAGCCATAAATCTTCTTTTCTTTTCCTTTTTTGGAAAAACAAAACAAAACAAAAAACTAAAAGAGATGAAGTAACTCATCTAAAATTGCACAATTAGCACATGGAAAATCAAGGTGATGAACACCTAACCAAAATTCATGAGTTTTCAAGTATGTTGTTGACCTCTGAAAACCAGAAAGGACAGATGCTATAACAGATATTGGAAAGAAAAAAATAAATAAGTGAGAGGTTCTGATGACAAGAAAATATGAAAAGAAAAAAAAAACAATTTAGAAAACCAAGGAGAAAAAGGAAAAATAAACTTAGCATATTTGGAAAACAGTGAAAATAGAGTTAGCTTCTTAGAGAACAGGATAGAACGGATTCAATCTGGTTCATGCTGAGTTTTGGACACTGGCAAACAGTTCAATGGGAATGCACCCCAAGAAGCAGAGACTGCAGTCTGGACTCAGAGGGAGCACGGGAGCCGGAAGAAGGCCAGGCAGCAGAAGTTTGGTGCTGAGGGGCCCAACAGCGCACTGATTCCCAGGGTTCCCCCTTAGAAGAACTTAGAACAACCCTTAGCCATTTCTCCTGCTGAGTTTAGAGCATCTGCCAGGAAAGGCCAAAAGCCAACACTGAACAGAGCTGAGGGAAGGAAGAGGAAGAGGACTGTCAAAAATGCCCTCCACCAAAAAATTACAGAAGCCATTTTAATGCTAAGATCAACTGAGAAGACCAGGTAAAGGTTGAATATTCTAATCAATTGAATAATTAAGAGAGGCTTAGGTCTTTTTTCCCCTTTTCTCTATTCATGCAGCCAGAATGTTTAAGTTCACCCAATTCTAAAATTATTTTCCAATAGCTAACGAGCTTTCCTAGCACAATAATCTTAAGAGAAATATTTAGTAGCTAGCAACGAAGAATTTTTGCACAATATGTTTTGTCAAGGTTTTCCCCTTATGAGCTTAGTACAGAAATAAATAAAATGCCATTATTTATTTTGATCGAATCTATTTAATCATTCATTTATTTCTTCCTTCTTTCCCATTTTGTGCATTTCAGTGAGGATTAAGATAACAAATACCTAATTTATAAGTAATTATAAAGTAATAAATTATATGGCAAGATTTAAAGAAAACTTAATTGAATAATTTTGTTTCCAAACAAGAGGAACTAATGGGTAATTACTATAACACTTTCCTATCTCAACTGGAATTCAATCTTTTACAATTATTGAAAGCAATAAAATTACCAAGAATAGGCAAATGGTCTTTATTCCTTTAAAACCCAATTCATCACATGGACTATAAAAGAGAGTTTTAAGAGATTCTCAATATCTCAGGTTATCTCCTTCATGATATTTCAGGCAGTTCATTTCATTGCACTACAATAATTAATAATAAAAATTCTTTTTCTTTTTTCTGTTTTCTATTTTTTTCCTTCCTCCCCTCCTTTCTGCCTTTGTTCAGAAAAAAAAGGTGAAATCTGTTGTAATTGAACTCTAAGAAATATAAAGAATGCAAATCTGCAAAAAGATTTTTTTCCCCTATTAAACATTGACTCTTAGTTGGAGCAAAACGCAGGCTCTAGATTCTGTTTCAATGATATTTGAATAGATTTGAACAAAATTAGTTTAGTTAAATACATACAATGGCATTTTTTTTTTTTACTATTCTATAGGAATTCTTTCTAGTCACCCATTCACTTTTTCAACTTATAGCTGCCTCACATCGTTTATCTGCTTTCTTTGATCCTTTTTCAGGGGACTTGTCTGGAAACCATCTCCTGTACATTTTTTATGCACTTCTTCATCCATCTCTTCAAAACAGAAGGAACTAGAACAATACCTTGCAAGGTCAGGAGATCAAAATAACTTAAGCAAGGCACCTGGTAGAGACCCTAGAATCTAACATGCAATCCTTAGAGGGTATCCTTATTAATGAAAATAAGCATTCATCTTATGCAAACCAGAACAATTTAATAAAATGTTGATATGGCATTTATTTGATCTTAAAGGGCAGATATTGAAAGAAGCCTCCTCCAAGGACAACTGGGATCATGGATGGAAATGTAGGCATCATGAGATAGTGCTGGAGAGTAAAGGTTTCAGCTGCCTTCACCTAAGTCCTGTTTCTTTCATTTACTTAGCTGGGTGACAGTCATCTTTCTGTGCCACATTTACCTCCTACATTTTCCTTCCCCCTCAGAAGAATAGCTGGCAGAGAATGAACATGACTTAGCTTTTCCCCAGTGTTAGTGTGATACTCAAAGCCTGAAGACAACATCCATAGTCTCATTGGCTAGTACCTTATGGCCCCAAGTGTGTGACCCCTTTACCTAAAGTCTTCAGATGCTCCAATGAAGTTTGCTACTAAGCATTATTTTTCTTCTCTCCCATTAACAGTAAGAAATACATGGCGAGTGCAACGGTCCTGAGAGAACAGGAACACGGAGCTTGTTGTGAGCCAGGATCCCTGCTGGACTGCACGGGAGAGGCCCAGGTGGGGGCAGCTGTCGAGGCAGTGATGTATGACGAATGACTTGTTGCCGCAATGGATCATCAGAGCCTGGCTACACTGATGACATGTCACAGGCATACATCATCAGAGCAGTGCCCGGCAGGAGCAGCAGTCTGGAAACCACCCTGCCCCATAAATTTTAATACAGCCAAATAAAAAGAGCTGTAATTTTCTTTTCTTCTAAATTAAAGATTGACACTCAGGAAAGGAGGGACAGAGGACTCATTCACATGACCCAGATGCTTTCCAAAGACCCCAAAGTTACTGAGGTCTTCTAGGGACATGTACAATCATCCTTACTCCAATGAATGTGCCTTGATTTAACCTGACCTAATTGTCCCAAAGTGCAACTTCCTGGCACAGAGATATCCTGCATTGGTGTACAGAAGATTTTTTCAGGGATGGTAAGCTGCCTTGTTATGGATTGCTTACCTATAATCAGCTGAAGAGAGTGCATTAAAATGGGCTGAAATTTGTTAAGAGTGTTTAGCAATTTATTTATTTATTTATTACTGGGGATTAAACCCAGTGCCTCACGGACACCAGACAAGTGCTCTACCACCAAGCCACTTCCCCAATCCAGCAATTTATTTGCTTAACATCTTAATGGTGGTGAGGGTGGTTAGTCCAGAGAACAAATTTAGTGAATTTTAAACAGAAGGTCAATATCTTTTCTAAATTTGAAATTCACCCATGAACAAAGCTTTCTAGTAGCTAGCATTTCAGTCGGGTTTAAAAGGAGATACTGAAAATGAACACAAACCAAGTAAAATGATTCTAGCTATCAGCACTGTGAAGAAGAAAGAAAACTTAAGGGTAACAAAGATCGGGTGGCCGTTTTAGCTAAGTTGACCTGAAAAGGCATCAATCACTACGAGGTTACTTATGATTGGGGACTTCAATGATGAGAAGCAAACAGCAAGGAAATTCCAGAGAATGAAGTGTCCCAAGCACAAGAACGGCAAACTCACTCCTGGAACAATAATGGGCACAACAGATTTGAGACAGAGGGGAGGCACTGTAGCGTGAGCAGAAGAACTTGGGAAGAGTTGAGATGGCAGAGCTCAGATGAGCACATGAATTTCAGTTCCTAAGGTGTCTTGTAATCCATGCAAGAAATTTGGATAACCTGGTTGCAATTAGGTTTTAGAGCAGGAGAAGGAAGAAGAAGGCCCCCAATCTGAAAAAAAAAAAAAAAAAAAGAAAAGAAAAGAAAATCTTTCTTGCTGCTATGTGGACAGAGTGGTGAGGTAGAGAGGCAGAGATCTCTGGAGGTAGATCTCTGGAACAAGACAGGAAGTGGAGAAATCAGCAAAAAAGCTTATCAGGGTAATCAAGGGCACATGTGACTTGACCTTCTATTGGAATTTCACAAGTGTGATGGCAAGAAGTATTTGGAGCAGAGCTGGCATGACTTAGTCATGGAGTATGTTTCTCATGAAGAAGGAGCAGAACCACAAGGAAGCCTTAGATTCTATTTCCAACAAAGTAGTGGTCACGTTGTTGACCAAAAATTCTTAAAAATGACAATAAGTTTATAGGAGAAGATCAATAATTTTGTTCATATTCTGCTAAGATGGCAATTCAGTATCCCGGCAAAGCTCTCCAACAGCAGTCAGATGTATAATTATGGCTCTCAGGAGACAGATCTGAAGATACAAATTTGAGCCTCCTTATGACTCAGATAGAATTTAAAAGTATGAGAACAACAACAACAAAAAATTCTCCTGAAATTAGGTAAAACAGAAAAAAAAAGAAGAATTCTGCAGAGTTCTAGAGCACTCTAGTACTTCGAGGTCCAGTTAGGAAGAAGGAGCAAGAAAAAAGAGAGAAAGAATGGGAACTCAGATGAGAAAAAATAGGAAACGGAACCAGTTGGGTGTTGGCCTTGGGGGAAAAAAAAGGAAAAAAAAAAAAAAACGGCCCGCCCCGGCAAAAAAAGCCGAAAAAGGGGGGGGAAAAAAAAAACAACAAACCCTCAAAAACAACCCGCAAAAGACCGGTGGTAAGGAACCTAAAAAGAAAAAAATTCCCAAAACAAAAGGGGAAAAAAAGCCAAGTGGGAAGAACCGAAGAAAAAACGGAACCGAAGAAAAAGCAAAAAAACAAGGGACCACTCTCCTGATGATTCATTCTAGAAGAGATGGGTAAAGTGGAATAGTAATTAAAGGTGTTCGTGGCATGGGGGGATTATTTTCTAAAGATGAGTGATATAAAGGCACATTTGAATACTAATTGGAAGGAAAATTGAGAATTAGAGAACTAGATGAAATAGAAGAGAAAGAAGGAACTTCCAAAAGTGAAGTCCAAAGAAGCTGAGGAGGGGATGGACTCAGCCTATATGAATGACCTCAAATAAAAGTGAGAAACATTCTTAGACTTGACCGTGAGAGAAGTTTCAATGTGTGATACAGATTCAGGCAGTTTCACAGACATGGGTGAGGTAAAGAATGCATTTCTTGCAAGACTGGATTTTCTTTATGAAGGACAAATGAAGTCTAAAGCTGAGAATGGATAATGGTGGTGTTGGAAGTTTCAGGAGAGAGATGGTGGAGAAATGTCATCTTTGAGGAGGAGATGATGAGATTATTTGGGAATATTGAGGACCTATCTGGGTCTTGCAATCATGACTTCATTAAGTGATGAAGATCCTTGGGTCCAGGCTGTTGACTGGGTTACCTAGGATTATCTCTGGGCAATATATTGTCTAAAGCATGGTGGGCCAGAAGAACTAAAGGTGTGTGCAGGGAGTGGTAAGAGTCCTGGATCATGGGATCTAATAGATAAAAATAAGCATAGAAGTAAAAGGAGGGTGATAATTTAGCTGTAAGATATGCATTGTCACCATGTCCTGCTGGATTCACGCATGGCTCTCCCACCCCCAGGGCCAGGGTAAGTGCAGAAGGGTTTTGGTCAACTTTACATTTGCAAGGAGGACCAGAATGTGCCACAAAAGGGGAAAACAGGGACTGGGATTCAGGTGGCTCCTCATTGAGGGTATCTTTCATGACACTTCTGAATCATCCCAAAGTATACAGCTTCTGAGATTCAGGACACAGTGTAGAGTTCTTACTTTTCTGAGTCTTGGGATTGGGCTGACAGGACATGAGATTGTGGCATAGAATTACCACTGTCATTTTTTTTTTCATCCCAGTTAATGCAAAAATGGTGATAATTTAAACCTTTAAAAATACAACTCCTAGAATCCCCATGATTTTTTGTTCTGTTTTGTCTTCTCCTGTCTGATCTGAACTAAATATACCCAAGAAACAATTTTTTTCCTGGTAAGGAACATCTGTCGGTTTTACCTTCAGGAAGAAAAAATAATCTACACATCTATTATGCATTTTATACCCTTTCTCTGCATAATTCCATATATTATAAACAGCAAGTTCTCCTAATTCATTTCTCTGCAAAAAAAAAAATGAATCACAATAGATTCAGTTATTAAGAGATTTCTTTAAATGACATTGTACAGTGGAACCAAGATAAATATTTTGAGATCCATCCAGAAATGTGGGTAAGTCTATTGCTTATGGGACACTGATTTAACCTAAGGGGAGATGGCACAAAGAGACACACAGAGACTGAAAGATCAGGATGCAGTTCACTAGAAAATACGTCTGAAATAGGGCAAGAAATCTGTATGCTGTGGAGGCCATGCCAAACATCTCTTGGCGAACATGAAAAATGTGAATATATTCACTAGCTGGCTGGAAAGTGCTCTCTGGGCCCATAGCTGTTTTTCCTGCGGTGGTACCTGTGTGGTTTCATTAAAGAGTTTCTTTAACAGACGATGTTGGAAATTCAAGGAAAAGGCGCCAAGGGTTTCTTAGAAATGTATTTCATAGCAGAGTATCAAGGGGTGGCATTGATCTTGGGTATGCTTGCTTGCACAGGAGAATTGAGATGCTGTGGGGGTAGTTTTGTTGTTTTCCCATATAATGTTAATGGTCCTAAATTAATTATAAACCAACAGTTCGACGGAAATACCTTAGTGTTTCTCTTTTTCTTTTAAAAATTCTAGGGCAGTTGGCTCTGAGCACAACCTACTCTCCAGCTATCAAAGGGTTCAGTGTGTGTTAATTCCATTGGTCATCCAAATGTGTACTTTTTTTTTTCTCTCTTTCCTTTCTGTGTCTGATCTCTCCTAAAGAAATACTGCAAAAAGAAAATAAACTGGATTCAAATATCTACGAGAAAAATGAATCTAAAATTACTGTTTTAGGATTCAGAGAATGGATCCAATATTTAAGGGGAAAGAAAACACTCTACCCACCTGGATTCCTCTTAGAAGAAGTAAAAATTAAAATTATGAAGTTCTCTTCATTATGCAAAGCCTCATCCCTCACAGAATGGAAGGGAGATGTGCCTTCTTCTGCTGGTCACTGTCCATTGCTCACCTATTTACATCTTCAGGAGACACCTGGACTTGAACCAGACCCTGTCTGAATTGTATATAGTTGACCCTCACCCATTTGCACTAATGGGTAGAAAAAAAAAAAAGAAGTAGTGTGAATGTCGTGCCTAAATCTGGAGAGCGAATCATCCTCAGATTGTCTTCATAAAATTAAAAAAAAAAAAAACCTTTTCAGTGGTTTTTATTTTAATGTCACCTCTGTGACATGATGTGGATTATTTTTTTTTTCGGTTCTTTAAAGAATCAAACAATTCATAAAATGACCTTAGTGAGGAGCTTAGTGAAGTCACCTTTCTTATTTTGCCTTCCTGCTTAACTCTTCTTCTCATCTTATTTCTGTAAGAGAAATTATTTATACCACTTCTGAGATTGTTTGCTCCGAGTTACCAACCTGAAGGAAAGCAGTCTTTCGCAAATCTTGTTTCTTCACACTTAGTTTCCTTAGGGCTAGAGATACTTATTTTGGCTTTGGAAACTTTTTCTACTCTCCAGTCGAACCTTAAGTAAACATCATCCCGTTTGTTTCCACAAAGTGTATAATTAGCTGAACCAATGAAAACGTTCATATGCATTTAAAAGCAAAATACCCATGGATAATCTTTAATTCCAGTAATCTGCTTGCAGGTCATTAAGAATTCCTTCATTATTCTTCATTAAGGAGGGGGTCCTGCATCTTGGATGCAGTGGTCTCCAAAGCAAAAGTGACAGCGATGTTGGCAAAGTTCAGGGAATGTACAGAAAAATAAAGAGATTGAGTCATGATTTCCATGTAAGGAAAGACCAATGATTA